TCCCCGGGGTCGTTCGGGAGGGGAAGTCAGAGCCGCCCGTTCCTCCGCAGGCCGCCGGGACGATGACTTTCCAGTGGACGGCTGTGGCTGCCTTCCTGTATGGCGAAATCGGAGTAATTCTCGTGCTCTGCCTGCCGTTCATTTCTCCGCTGAGGTAGGAGGACTTGGGTGTGCTGAGCAACACAGCTTGCGCTTCTCACCAGTTTGGGTTTATTTTCATAACCACGGAGCTTTGCTGCATCCTGAACTAGTTGTAAACAAAGCCGAAGGAATGCTGTTTGGGACTCGAGTGTCAGGAGCTGCAGGAATCGCAAGGCTCTTTAAGGAGCTTTACGGTTTCTACGCAGTGCTGATTCACCCGGGGGCAGCGGTCGGGGTGCCCGGAGGAGCCCCCGGCTTTGCTCAGCAGGTGGGTTCTGGCTTCTCCCAGAGCTGGGGAGCAGGCAGCGTAGAGAAAGGCATCCGGCAGTAATTAATGAGAGGACAGTGCGGTTTTTTCAGCAGTTTGTCAGATTTGTGAGGTGCAGTTTTATGTTTTGGTGTACGCTAGGCGTTGTGGGTGCTGAAGAGATAAGACGTCAGATACTCAAAGCAAGCGGCAAGCTGTGTGTAACGGCTGCAAGAAATTTGTGATCACTTGTTTAAAAAAACTGGAGTTGAGTTTGAAGCAGAAGGTTCAGGACTACTGGAATAAAGACCTCTGTAAAAATCTAGAAAAACTCATCTATAGATTAAGAAAATAGTACTACTTCTGGAACACAACACGAATATTAAGAAAATAATAAATTCTTAATAAAATAATAAAATAAATGCACACAGTAAGGGGAAGAAACTAATTTATTACCTTTAGTGTTTGCAGAGGCCTGACTTACAGCATTATCTTGTTTCCTGTAAGTTGCTCTTCAAATTTGGTAATATTATTTCCCTACAGGAAATAAAGCTAGATTCTCTGCAGGAGGCAGAGAAACAGACTTCTGCTTTCTTTTCAGAATATCAGTAAGTCTTCCAAGACTTACCAAACCAAACCCACAAAAGAATGAGTCTTAAAGTAAGAAGCCACAACCCCCCCAAAACGAAAAGCAGAACAAAACTTTAAAGCTGTCTCACCAATGCTCTGTAAAACTGTTGCGTGTTTGTTTCCTGCATCTTTAGAATGATGTAGCATTTACTGTCCTGTTAAGGAGCAAGAGTTGTTGTGGAAAGTCTGGATTTAACTACTTAAACGTGTGGAGGAGTCTTGAAAATGACTGGCTCCTCCACAGCTGATACCAATGATTAGGCATGTGTCCTCAGCTTGAGAAATGGAAACTGTTCTGAAATCTAATTCAGCCTCTGGTTTTTTACAAGTTGGCTTGCAAGGAGTTCAGCATTTCAACATAGACTATTGAGTTGTTGTATTTCTTACTATTCTCTAAGCCAAAGTGCAACTGTGTAAGAGGAGAGGAGTATTACGGGAGTCATAATCATCAGATTATTAATGGCTTATGTGAGGAAACTAGCTGCAAGAATTTCTGCAGGCTGATGTCACAAACAGAATACTTTGGGAGTATTGAAATATGTTTCACTTATGGTGCAAACAGAGTCCAGTGTTTGTGGCTGAAAAGCAAATTCGTAATGTGCAGCTTTACCAAAATTTATTCAAATATTAAACACAGTGCTTTTAATTCTATGGAAAGGATAGAATTGTGTGCCTTGTTTGGGGCATATTCAGCTATTCCTCTGAACAGGGGTTTCTGAAAGAGTGAAATCACGTTATCCTTTATGGGGTATATGCAATTAACTTCTTAACAAAACTTGCAGGAATTTTGTGGAGTTAAAAATCAGATTTAGCTGCTGTGACAGTACCAGGGGGCAGCAGCTCTGCCTGACACATCTCAGTGGCCTGGGAGCTGGTTCTGTCAGCAGTAAGGCATGCGTGGTTACTGACAGGTGGGAAACTGCTGTTCTTGGAAGTTTTGATTTACTTGGTTGTCAGTTTTCAAATGGGTTGCTTCTCTCTCTTGTGTGTGCACATTTTTTAAATTTTTTTTTTGTCAAATTTGCTAACAAGTTTATAGGTTCCTGGGGAACAAGTAAATTGACAGTATAAAAGTGCCAATATTCAGAGACAGATCAGATTTGTTCTACGAGGTGTAGTACACTAAGCTGGTGGCTAGTATTATAGTACAGAAGTTTTATATTTATATGACTTTTGTCACCAAAAAGAAGAGCAGTGTTAGTAAATGTGAATCCCTCAATTCTTGTTGAGGGAAAATAAATGTGAAAATACAGGAAGATTTTCCACTAAAGAGATCCATATTTTTAGCCTGATTATAACTTGGCAGTGTGGTTTATCTAAGATCATACCTCAAAGAATCACTTCTGAACTGAAGGTCAGGATGGAGCTTGGAAAATTGCATGTGTAAAGAGTTAGTGAATTGGCTGTTTGAGCTCAAAGTAAGTTTTTTGTTTGATACAGACTGTGGCTGTCTGCTATAAAGAATTCAGATTATGCTGGAAGACTTAAATGAGATTTTTGCATGCACAATGCAAAAACATTTTAATTCTTTCTGATGGAGAGCTGGAAAGAGCTATAGGAGATGATGCTACAGTTTCATTTAAATTAATAGTAGGTTGGCAACCACTGTTAGAGGGCGAATGGTCTCTGGTAAGCATAAATTGTCTTAACAAAAGTAGTAAATTTTACCTCCTATAATCAGGTGGTTACATCCCTATGGCATGACCAGGTATTATTTCATTTGTGCAGTAGCACTGATTGTAACCTGCAGCAAAGGACAAGTAGGTGCTCTGTTATCACCTGTTTCAGTTCATTTGAGCACATCAGATACTCTTTGTTTGTGCTGCAAGTGTGACTTCTGCTACAGCCCTTCATGCAGCAATATCAAATAGACAACTCATTGTTCAAAAAAAGGAAGTAGTCTACACCACCGTTGGCCTCACCAGAAGTCACTTCTGTAGCCAGCAAATTTATGCCTGGGAAAGAGATTTTAAGCCTTAACAAAATATGAACACAAGACTTGTCTTTTTTGTTGTCATTTCAAGTAAGAATGTAATAACAGTCCTTGTACTTCAGAGTTAATAGAGGTACTAGTGGTTAAAAAATAAAAATAATGGAATGGGTTTTACAGTCTTTACCCTATCCCTTGTTATATTCAGGACTGAATACAATGTAATGATAGCCAAAGTATAAGCTAAAATAAAACACATCTGCAGAGTATCTGCTATCATGCAAAAAATTTGCAAGTATTATCAACAAAAATAAGAGAAGTTAGATTACTGGAAAAGTTAACATAGACCTAAATTATATTGCAATTAAAGCACTGTTCAGAGACATTATACAAGTCCCTTATCAATAACAAGGCTCTCTTCTGTGGGGTTGTAATGTTCTTCTTTTAGTGCTTAATTATTTTTGAATAACACAGTTCTATTTTACAGATGGCAGAAGATTTTTATGTTTTCTCTATGGAGCAAAATGGCAGTATTTTGGAACAAGATGTTCCTTACAATAATAGTTTTGTTGATCGTCTTGTTTCTTGGTAAGTGTTAGATAATTTCTTAACAAATGGGTAAAAGAAACATGGTACACTGAGTTTATATGAATAAACTAATGGAAAGGATTGAAGCCTAGTGTAAGTCAGCTAATTTATTGAAAAATTATACAGTGGAATGAAAGAGGAGAGGGCTAATGCTGCATCTACATTGGGAATCCAAATGTAATTGTATTATACTGAGTGAATGAGAAGGAAAAATGGAGCTTAGGGAAACCAAGCAGCAGCCTAGACTTTGTCACACAGGTAAATGAACTTGTTTGACACCAGAATTTGGCTGAGCTGTACCTCATGCAGCAGATGGCACTCTTTCTTTTGGTTGCTGTTGAAGTAGAAGACCAGAATATATCAAAGCACTGGGCTGTTTGAAAACTTTTGCTCAGCACAGATACAAAACAGCTTCTGGCTTCATTTGTTATGGGTGGATCCTAAGGTCTGTGAAGTAAGAGTAAAGCTTTAATGGTTACCATATGCCTGACTGATTTAATTTAATGTCTGTCCTGACTGTTGTGAGGTAGGCATCTCCTGTATTTCAGTGATGAAAGCAGTTCTCCTGTGTTTTGGAGATATTAAATAGTTCTCCATGGATAAGTGTTTCCAGTGCCTTAGAATATACATGTTACTTAATTCCAGGCTACTTGGAATAGAAAGAAAAAATGCATGGTTTTATTTTCTACTGAGGGAAACATATATACCTATGTCAGACTAGGCTATAGGACTATATTCTTAATATTTAAAGTACTAGAAATTCAAATAGACTGTTTTATTCATTTTTTAAGATTATGTTTAGCATTATTCTTAAAAGTAGGTCTTCAGTGAATGGCTTAAGATTGAGAACTAATGTATTTGATTTACTCTGTTGAACTGCTGTTGAAAACTTGGGCCAAAGTTTGCTTTTGACTTGGTGATGATCATTGTTTTTGTGGAAAGAGAACAGGGCTAAAGGGAAGCAGTGATGAGATACCTGCCCTGTAGCATGAAGTGACAGGTTACTGCAGGCCTAGACTCTTCCTATAGCACAGGGACATGCATTTGTTTGCTCCTAGTCTTTGAGGCATTGTTTGAAGCTTCATTTCAGGGTTTTTTAATGTCCAAATTACTCAGACATATGAGAGAGACAGTCATGAGTGATGATAGTCACTTGTGCTTTTCTTTGATTTTGCCTGCTTAGACAAATGCAGCAGCAATTTAATAACATCTGGCCAAAATATTCTGCAAGAACATGTCATGAAATGACAATTTATTGATGTGCAGGAGGAGATTTAAGGTGCTGTATTGGTTGTAGGAATGTCTGATGACCTTACGTTTAAAGATAGTAATATGAACTCTTAACTGGGTTAGGTTTGGGGTTTATGTGGAGGTAAGTCCTAATTAATTATTTTGTCCTTTGAAAGGTGTTTGCAGTGCACTGGCCCTTTTGCAGTGCTATCAGAAGTATGTGATGGATGAAAGGAAGATGAAAGATGTATGAAAGGCAGATGAAAGCGGAGTTGTAGCTTTCCTTCTCCAATCTTTTTACAGTTAGTAGTTGCTACTGTTACTACTGCTGTGTGGCTATAGTCTTTCTGTTTTAATGGATATGAAAGAAATAATTTTTTCCCTCTATGATTGAAGTATAAAGTAGACCTAGTACTTTAATCTATAGTATAAAGATATATAGTAGTATAAAGTTAGAATGTCATTACTAAAACACATGCATATCTTTAAAAAACTCCGTGTAAAGCAAATACTTGAGCAAATACTGCTGCTTTTTGCTTATTCTTCTCTTTTCTCACTGTTTGTCCACTGGGGAATTTTAGCTCAGTTGTCAGCAGTGATATTTTGACACCGTAGGGTCTTGGTAACATCTGTAGAGTGAGATGCTTTGACCTAATCCCTCGTGGCTGGGTACAAGTGTTTGAAATACCTGTTCAGGCATATTTTGGGCAATGGTTTGTTGTATTTCTGAGGATGTGCTAGAACACTTCATGATTTATCATGACCGATCTTTGAAATGTATAGATAACATAATTGCTGTCACTATTTGTCCTATTGCTCTTTGCTGAGCAGAAAATCAAAGTACATATTCCTAGTACTAAAGTCTGGTTTAGCATGCATGCACACCCACAGATGTGAATAAGAACAGACTGTTTTTGTTTGCAGATGCTGTTAGAGAAGTCAGGAAATACTCATCTGTTCATGTGAATGAAAAGGCTGCAAATGTCAACAGCAGTGCCTTTGATCATATTCAGATGAAACTCTTTCGGTCGCAAAGAAACCTGTACCTCTCAGGTTTTTCCTTATTTCTTTGGCTGTAAGTATAACATTTTTGAATGTTTACATAGTATGTTTATTACAGGAACTATTGCACAAAGTAATTGTAAAGTAAAGGTCAGAAAGACAGTTTCGGGAGATTAAAGAATTAATTGTGACCAGGTTGGCTACAAGGCAAGTAAGATCAGGGAAAATAATACCTTGCAACTGTTTGAAGATTGGAAGGATGTGTGAGCAACACATGGAAAGAAACGTTTTGAGTGCTGGAGAAAACATGTATTTTGCAGAAGTTTCTTTGGGGGTTACTCACTCATTTCCTTCCTTAAACTTATACCCTTTGTTTTGCACATGGAAAACTGGAATAAAAAACTGCTCAAAAACTAAAGTACTGTTAAATATTGTTATTATCTGGCAAGCTGGTGTCATTGCACCCTGCTGTGTTAAGAATCAAAGCGTGAGCCTGACCTGACCCGCTTCAGGCCAAGGTTGAAGTTAAGAACTGTAGGATAATATTCCACCTTTCAAGGAAAGTAACAGTTGTATTTCAGATCAAACACTTTGTGGCAACTTGCCTGTTATGGTATTATGTTCTTAAGTCTGGTATCTCTTTCAGGATTTCTAAGTTCACCTACTAAAACAGGATAAGGGAAAGGGCAGTTCTGTACTGCCCACCTGTAGCAACCAAGACTACCTGTAAATCAATAGGCACAACAACCTGCAGATCTTATCAGTTGGGCTGGGAGCACACAAAGTCACTGGACATAGATAATGTGAACAAACAGAAACAGACATGTTGGTCTGATGATTTCCATTTGTACATTTTTCTGGTGACTGGACAACGAGTGTTGGTCCTCTTAGGAGTTCCTTCAGTGAGCTACTTGACATTGCCTCAATACTCAAGAGGAGCACAGGACAACAGAATCAGACTTAAGACAAACTTCTTCCCCTTTCAGTGATGTGTGGCTATTTTAGCAAACCATCCAGCATAAAAAGTGTTAAGGAAAAATGAATGGAAAGCTTGAGCAGAAAAGCTTTGGAAAAAATAATGTGGCTGTAGCCTTGCTCAATAGTGGTAGGAATACATCAAGTTCTTTGTCTTCCTACAGAGACGTTAAGTAAATATGCACAAATATGTTTTAAATCTCTGCTCCAGGAGGAATAGCTAGATTGTGTCCTACAAAAGAATTGGAAGCTGATCTCTCAGGATCCTATTTATATTCAGCTTCCAAAGAGGAAAACTTGTCAAGTGATCCCAGTAGATTATTTTGTATAAAAACTCTGCTCTTGAAGAGGTTTGCTTGAGGTTTTTTTGAGCTGCTGGCCTTTCACCAAGATTTAGGAGAAATAAGCACTCTTCCAGTAGTCACTTCCTCAAAGGACTTTTCTTAGTAGCTGGTTTGCTAATCCATGAAACAGACAATGTCTGTCAGAGAAGTGAGGAGAAAGTGTTCCTTGGCTTGCCTTACCCTGTACTGCTATACCATCACCCAAACAACTTGAGACCCCATCTAATGTGAATGGGTAATTGGATGCCTCTAGTTCATTCTTTGGGTCAGTTTTGGTTCATTTTAGCACATCAGCAAATGGGAGAATTCCACAAGAATGGTATATGGAGATTCAGGAAATAGAGGAGGCTGGGAGCTTGTCACTTCTGGCAAGACAACAGCATTGTGGGGTTCAGTTATTGCAGAGCATTGGGTACAGGTGAGGAAAATTACCTGTCAGAGGGGGTGTTGGGGCCAGTTGAGCCTCTCATCTGCAAACTGTGCAGAAAAGAGGAGAGTCACAGCCCCTGGAGACAGTCCCCTTGGTGGGACAAAGACACCCATCTGTTAGTCTGACCTGGTCCTCTCTTAGCCCATGCTGAACCAGAGAGGGATAAAAAGGGCTGAAAACTAAAGAAAATCTCAAGAAGCCCACTGCTCACTGGTGCCTTCTAGGAGAGTCAGCAGGGTATGTCACATCATCTCAGTAGTGGAAGATGCAGCTAGGGAGTGCATAGGCCAGTTGGGCATATAAAAGTGTGGCTTCCTAGGATGGCAGAGGGAGTTGGCCAATGTCATTGTAAGGCTTAGTTTGAAAGATCACAATTCTGGGGAGAATCCTGGTGACTGCAGAAAGGCAAACATTGCACCTGTCTTCAAGGACAGAGAACAGGATGTAAGAAGCTAGAGACTGGCCTCCCTGGAAAGGTTATGAAGGAAATTTTACTCAAAGACATCTTCAGGGACACGAAGGACACGATGACTTGGAATACCCATCACAGATTTACTTAGGGAAGATGATGCCCGAACATCCTTGTTGCCTTCTGCAGTGAGGTGAATGGCTGTGTGGATAAAGAGCAGAATATCCTTTTTGCAAGGCCTTTGACATAGTGTCTTTTAGTATTCTGATAGCCCAACTGTGGAGGGATACAGGCTGAAGACAAAAGCAGGTGAGAAGTTCCCTGGACCTTTGGGCTCAAAGGATAATAGCCATGTGAATTTCAGCTGGTGCTTCTCAGGGGTCCATACTGGGCTCAATGTTGTTTAATGCCTTTATTAATGGCATGGATGATAGGATTGAGTGTGCCCTCAGCAAACTGGTCACATTTCCAATTCAGAGTGGTTGACACCTTGGAGAGCAGTGCAGCTTTTCAGAGGGAGCCAGAACGGTTGAAGAAATGTGCTGACAGAAATCTCATGAAGCTCAACAAAGACAAATGCAAAGCCTGACATTTTATTGGATAATCATATACAGCATCCAGGCTGGAGACTGGCTGCATGGGTGGGTAGGAAGAAGTTTTACAGGAAAAAACCTGGGGATCCTTCTAGAAAGCCAGTCGTGTATTGAGCTGTGATAGCACGGATGCAGTTAGCAGGTCAAGGAAAATGGTTATTCTGCTCTGTATGACGTGTGGAATGCTGCAGCTGCAGGACTGTGTCCAGTTTTAATTCCCCAAAATACTGGAGTACTGCAGTGGGGTACAGAGAAAGTTGGAGCCTGAAATAGGTGACCAATGAGGGGATGATGAAGGAGCTTTGCTTTCAGCCAAAAGAGACTTTGAAGGGAAAATCCTATTGGTTTCTATGTCTGTCTAGTAGTAAAAAAGATGGATGCAGTTCATCTCAGTGGATGCAAAAAGGAATGACAAGAGGTAACAGGAACCTGAGATGTTCTGACCTGTGGTAGAAAAGTGCTGCTGCTGTCAAGACCAGTTAAGCACTGGAGCTAGGACCCTCAAGGATGGTGGAATCTCCCATCACTGAAGATGGTAGGAACTCAACTGGATAAACCTCTGAGCAATCTGCTTAACCTGTCCTGCTTTTCATGAGATGGAAGCCTCTTTTAACAGGATTCTGTGATTCTCTTTTAGGTTTGATGTTTTAATGACTCCTGCATTTGTAAATTAATAAGCAATTGTAAATTTGCTAACCTGTGGAAAAGTAGTGACATAGGGACCTTAGCTTTTATATTAGCCCTCTAAAAATGTAAGAAAAGGAACTTTCAATGAAAAAGCAAGGGGTGGAAGGAAGCTTAACTTGAAAAGATCTGTTAATACTCTTCCAGTTATGAAAAAGTAAATTACTTAGATTTTCAAATTTCTTTGAAGAGCAGCTGCATACTTACATTATAGGCATTAATTTAATTCAGTGTTGTGTTGCCTTGATTCAGCAACATTTGAAAGACTTCAAGATGAATAATGAAAATAGTGATGCAAAGAATCAAGCAAGGTATTTGCAAAGCTTAGAATTGAGGTGCTGTATCAGTGCTGACATCCATGCATGTTCTGATTTAATTCTATTGACAGTACTTGGAAGATTATTATGCTCTTACTGTTAATTTTATTCTTGCAAGGCTGTTTATGAAGTTGTGTGATTTTTTTTCTTTCTTCCCTATACTCATTACCATAACTTGTTGTTTGGCTCCTGAGTTTGGAGATCAATCCTGTTAAAAATACTGGGTCATACAACAGTATTTAAACAGCCTTTAAGCAACCAGGTCTCTGACCCCTTAATGGCTGTGGGTATTTAGGATGAGGGAGGTTCTGTATCAAGTAAAAATCAGAATGTCAATGGATGAAAATATTTTCTGTCTCTCTTGTTGCTATTATTTATGTATGAGCCTGGATGTTTCCCTCTTCTGGTTTTATTTTTACATCTGGTACTGAGAGAGAAAAGGGCTTGTTTTGGTTTGTTGGATTTTTTGTTTGGTTTGATTTTTGTGGTTTTGGTTTTTGCTTATGATTTGGGTTGTTTTTATTTATGCTGTAAATTACAGTTCTATTCACTTCTTTTTTCACCAGTGTATTGAGACGTACTGTTACCCTTCTCACTCAGCTGGCAAAAGAGATGGCATCTCATGCAGCTCTGGAAACACAAGTAAATGATGCTACTGAAGCAGCCAAAAAATACATGGCCGAGAATGAAAGGCTGCAGGAGGTATCTTTGAGCTTCTTCAGTAACTTTCTTACACAGCAAGTAGTTAGTGCAGTGTACTCTGAGGATGGTTTGCTACAGAATGCTTGTTCATTTTATTCATTATATTCCTTCTGATTGAAAAAAGAAGAAAAATATTTCTATAATATGTAATTCAGAATACTGAAAACAAATTATATTAGCACCTTATTAACAAAGGAAACTGAAGTAAAACAAATAAATGAAGTTCTGTCTTTCCAGTACAAATTTCATCAAAGCAGTAATAGATTATAGTAATACCTCTCTGAATTTAGTCATAACAAAGTAGAGGAAGACACTAATTTTATTCCTTTTATCACAAACAATTGCCTGTTTAGGTTAAGGCTGTAGCAGTCCAGGATGAAAAAGCCTACTATATAACTGTTTTCATGCTGACTGTTTCTTCTTAATAGGATTTTCTCCAGTTCTGAATGTATTTTTTCAAGTTGTAAATTAATCTTTTGTATTTGATGAATTTTGTATTCTTCTGTCTTTTTATGGGAGGTCAGCCAATTTCAGAATACTTCCCTCTCTTAATAGGACACTACTGTAGTATTAATGGGAATACTACCAAATATTTCTTACTTTAAAAAAACCACCAACAGACTGGAGAGATGTTATTTTTATGTGAAGAGTGATAAGGCTGTGGTTCAGTACATAACTATTCAGGAAGGAAAGGCATCAAAGATATAATTAAGATAAATGTATAAAATCTTTTCTTGTAACAGTTTGACTTCTGTTTGAAGAGACTGTACCCTAAGCTGAGTTCAGACATCTAGACATAGGAAGGCTTTTAGAGTACAGCACATAGTTAAAACTAAATTCCCTGTGGGTGTGTACAGGTTTCCTTCCCGTTTGTCTAAAGCAGTGTCTATGGTTACTGGCACTGTCAATTTTGTAATGAATCTTCCTATGAAGACTCTGGACAGAAAGTGCTAGAAGGGATAAAAAAATCCAGCTGGGAGGTGTTGTAAAACAAGGATCACTAGTCTCTGCTAGGTGTTTCCCAAGTATAAAATGATTCCAAAATTTTGCGATTTGGTATGTTGTCAAAATGATCCAAATTCTTCCCTCAGCCATGGAATTTGTCTTTTTGCTGGTTTTTTTTCTTCTCTATCCTGTTGAGATTTTGCCAAAAGTCCTCTTTTTTGTTCTGCTTTCACATTCTCTTAGCAACACATTCTCTTAGCCACTTGTAAATGATAGCCAGAAATTGGAAACTGTAGCCCTATCTGTTTTTATTTGTGTGCTCGATTGCATGGTTTTCAAAAACACAGGTAGCCACAGGTACTGGCAACATGCTGTGGCTGGATCTCCATTGTAATGGACACAGGAAATGCTCAGGGTTGGAATATTTAACTTTATAGACATCCTATGGTTTAGGCTTTTTTGTGGCTTGGCCCCTGCATTTGTGTTTATTTACAAGTGTGCTTTGTTCCACCATTGGAGAGAAGTGAGAGCAATTGTGCATAAGGCACTGGCTGCAAGTATAAATACTCTGAGTTTACTATGGTGTGCAAGGTCTGCCCTGTTCAGAGGTTTCATGGAGCACAGGACTTCAGATAAAAGTTTACAGAAATAGCTGTTTGCATGCTAATAGAAAGAGGTGAGCACAAAGCAAAGAAGACAGTTGCCTATGGTTTTGTTACCAGCAGTTAAATGTCATCTCAGCTCTTTGATTAAGTAGCTTCTGGAAATTTTTTTTTCATCTCTTTTCCTTGGATTGTTTACCAATCTTTATAAACAGTTCTTTTTCTTTTTCCTGAAATAATCTTTCCCCTTTGCTCCTGCCTGTGCCTAGTACAGCTGATATTTCTAGCTCTGATATTTCTAGTTCACCTAACAGCTGTTTGTCTGTTTTTCTTTTCTTTTTCCCATTAAGCATTTACCTCTTTTTTTGCTTTTGCAGAGATGATGTGTGGTTACATAGTAGAAGCTTTATGAGAAAAGGATCTTGGTATGGGATATAATCTTGCACCTTAACAGGGTGCATAAGTATAGTATGTATACTATAGTATAGTATAGTATTTTTGGCATGGAGGGAATATATTGCTCTTCTGTCAGCTGTTTACAGGGCTCTTCCTGGATCCTTTCCTAGTTTTTGTCCTGGATTTCACTGGAAATCAAATCTGGATATTGAAACTGTTCTGAAGATTGAAGTAGCTGCAAACCTACAAGGAGAGAATTCTAACCACTTGCTCGTAAACATGGCAGCATTTTGTCACTGACAGTCCCAGTGTGTATAAAATCCATTTTATAATCTAAATGAAAGTTGTGCACTTGATGCAGACATGAGAAGTACTCTTACATAGGAGATAACACCATTCTAAGTATGCCATTACCTAAAACACTGAGCTTGTTAATTTCCTTTTTTTGTTTGTTTGGGGTTTTTTGTTGGTTTTTTTGGGGTTGTTTTTTTTTTTTGTTAGAGAAGATTTTTGTCTAGAATGACTATCTGCCTGTGTCAGGTTGACATTTGATAAAATGTAATGCTTTGCAGCTTTGCAAGATCAAGGCTGACATTCCCTGGCTATTTTGCATTAATATCAGACTTATGAAAATAAAGTTAATTGTAGCAACTGTGTTTTTTAATAGGCCTTGAGTGGGAAAGGAGATAGTAAAAAGAAAGAGTCAACAGATGCAACTCAGGAGAAGTTGAAGGAGGAAGTTGAACGTTTGAAAGCAGAGCTACAGAAGACATCAAATGGTGAGTATTAGTTAGGACCTCTTTGATTGTTTAACACTGAATGTCAAAAAAATATTCTAGGTGTAGCATGAATTAACTTCATCTGTTTCCAGAACACTTGGCATGGGGTTTCTTTACATTTGACTAGGAACTGTTAAAACATGCTGTTGCCATCCCAATATTTTAGTAAATGTGTTCATTATGAAAATATGTAAGGTGTAATCAGAACACCTTAGTTAGGTTGTAATTATTAACAAGTTGCACTGATATATTTAAGTGGTGTTGACTTGTCTTCATCAATGAAATGACCAGGATATGGAATCATTTGCACGTTGCTTTTAGGTATCAGTTTGATCTTTCATGTCATACATAGCAGCCACTCTCCCTGCATAAAATGGGGGATGTATTGTGGTTGAGGTTTTTTACTACCATGGGGTTTTGTCAGACAGCAGAAAAGTCCTTGACTAGTATTTTAAATTTATATATGTTCTGCAGCTGAGGTGTTAAGATGTTAGCTTTATAATATTTTTTTTTGTTTATAAGGAAACATAACTTAAAATTTGTAACATAATACTTTTGTTAGCAGCTTCCGTGTTTAAGGTTTAGGTTGTCAGAACTGCTTTATAGGCAGCCCAAATTGAGATAGAAGCAGATTTGACCTGTTTGGTTCTGTCTTACTGGGATCTCTCAAGGTGTGTGATGCCTGTGAGCACCTGCTGATCTGAAATCAGTGTTTTTAAGATAACACAGCCTACAATCTTGTAAACATTAATCAGATGTTCAGACTGTAACAAAAATACAAATTTTCTTGGTACGAGACACTGTGTTATCATCAAAACATAGCCCCACTTTCATACTGACTGGGACTGCTACAGTGCTGCAAGAATAAAGTTTTCAGAAATGTTTCATGAATCCTTTTTTGTGCTCCACTGGGAATTCAAATAAAAAATGCAAACCAGCTGTTTTCAACTAGACTTGAAGCAACAAGAATCTTTAGAGGGTCTCATTAGTTCACATTCTCAGGCATGTTTGATGGTGGGTTTTCCCTCTCCTGCTGTTTTCTTGAAGAAAGCTGGGGGGCAGTGCCTTTGAAGTGACAGGATCAATGGAAAATTTAAATGCTTATGTCTTATTTAAACTAACTGGTGGTATGTAACACTAATATAATGTAAGCTTTTCAGTCAGGAATGCTAGAGAAAGCTAAGGAATAAATAGATTTACCTCATGCTGCTTCAGCTTCATTCTCCCTATGATATGTTGTCCATCGAAGAGATGTATAAATTAAGGCATGCTTGAATCTTTTGTTTAGGGCACAAGTGGGAGAGAGGGTCTTTCTAAGGAGTGAATAGGAAAATATTTACAGCCCTTCTCCTAATGCCACCCCCCTCATTGCCAATAGCCCCCTGGGTGGTATGGGAATTACCATGAGCAGCTAGGTGATGTTGAGGTTTGTCTGTCTTGCCTTCTTGTAAGTTTTCTTCTATGTTATTTTGAGCAAATTGATAGCCAGAAAGCTTGATAAGAACAACCACATCCTTAGACACAGCTTTCTATGGAGTGTTAGAGGATGTGAATTTACTGTGTTCTTTTGAAATTCCTGCAGCTGGTCAGGTCAGTGTTGACTGTCATGTTCACTAAGTGTGAGCAATGCATTACACAAAATGAAAGCTGACATTGGAAAGGTTTTTTTGCCTTTTCTAAGCAATTTGTTTCATGCTACTGAGCTCTCATGATCAAAGTAACTTTTTCTTTGTGTCTGTAAAGTCCAATCCATGAAGCTGTGGGGGAAGAGTGAAGAGCTTAAAGGGTGTCACTTAACCATGAAACAAGACAAAACTCATAAAAAAATGAAAACTTCACTGGTTTTGATTTTTGAGGTTTTCTTATTGTTTGTTTTTCAACGATGGTATTAGTAAGAGTCATAAATTTGGATATTGTTCATGGTTGGTTGGGGGTTTGTGTTTGGGTGATTTTTTGCTGCTTGAAAGGAAAACCTTTTTTTGTTTCAAATACAGTTTCAAATATCCATTGCTCTGGTCTGGGACACTTACTTAGCTGCTGATGCATGGTAATATATTATTTTAGAGTAGGCTATGAGTTGAAAGGTGGGTTAAGTCAGTATAGTGGCAGCCAGGAGGAGTCCTAAATGTACACCTGCTTCACATTTAAGAAACCAGTTTAGTATCAGATTGGTGCTGTGACATCAAAGGCTATGCAAATTTTCTGTAAAGTTTTGAATCAGTATTTGCAGCTGGAAGAGGAAGCACCATTGTCCCCTCTTCCTGAAATTCTGACTAAAATCATAGTGTTGACAGATGATTGTAGACTTTCAGGAGACTTAGCTCTAGTTCTTCAGCTTTCTGTCTTTTACAGAAAACACAGACTACTTTTTTTCCCTGACTTAACAGTGAAATCCTAAGTTAAGAAGACCTTTTTCCTATGCTCTGAATAGGTGGGGAGGAGGAATCAAAATACAAGACTGAGCACAAAAATTAGTAACATCTGAGGAAGGGTTGGAAATTAATTTTAAGGGTTTTTTACCAAATTTGCTTTCTTTCCAAGCTTGACTTTTCTATTACACTTGATGCTTTTTTTTGCTTTATTTTGGAAATGAAGCAAAGAAGGCTAGTTCCTCACAGCTCTATTGCAGACCCACATATTGTTGTCAGGGCTTTATAGGCACCCAGCAGTGGGGCGAGCACTTTGAGAGCCTAATCCATTTTTAGCATACCTAGACATGTAATAGCATGACTGGTTAGAAACCTTCTGAGATGGTATTTTATTGATACACTTATATATTATGAAAATGTCTCATTGATACCTAAAAATAAATATACATACTTGTAGCAATACCCAGAACAGATGGGAGAACATACTTGTAGCAATACCCAGAAACTAATGTTTCTCCTGCTACACATTAGACATATTTCAAACAAAATATTCTGATAATTAAAGGTTCTCAGTATGGCTACTGGACTAGGACCAATAGGAATTTTCTGGGGAAAGAAGACGTGCCCATGATATTGTTTCATTTTGATGGTTTGGAAGACTATTCAAAAAAACACTACAAAACAATTACCTGCAACTGGGCATGAGATTAGACCTGAGAGAAGTTTCATAACTTTCCATTTGTCCTTACAATGGTCCTTGTGCTGGGGCAGGAACAGGGCTTCATTAAATATGTACTGGCTCATCAAAGTCATTTAGGTGCTTTTGAACTTCAGTTCAACTTTTTCTGAAAATACTCTGTTTATATATGGATGGGGCAGGAGGAAATTCTAATGGAACTTGGATGCATCATTTAAAGAGGTTTGTTTTGTGTACAGATTGACACGAGTGTTCTTTGTTTCATGGTTCCATAGTGTTGTAGGAGACAGGAGGAGAGCAGCAATTCATGTGGAGGGCTGGTTTTGGAATAACTTCTAACTGTTGGCTATTCTAGAAAGTATGCACGTACAGATGTACAGCTCTCACTTAAACCTGTTAAAAATACAGACTTTGGGAATACATTTCATAAAGCTGCTGCTAGGGAGAGTTCAGTTTGGCTTTGGTGTTGCTGGGTAGGCTAGTGCCATGTATGAAAACTACACTGAGCTTCTCTGATGCACTCCAGTTTTTAAAAACAAACAAGTTTAAAGAATTGGCCACAGTCTTGTTATTTGGCAAATGGCAGAGGGAAGCTGAGGAACAAGGTCTGTCTTACTTAACCTTACTTTTTACAAAACTGAGATGATAAGCAAGGGTAGGAGCCATTGAAGTGCCACATGCAGCAAGAGCTGATACTCACATTTGTTGATTAGAAGAGATGGCTGCATACAGCAAGCATGGGTTTATTATACAAGGCTTTTTATGCCATCCAATGATGCTATAACATCCCTTCTGTAACAAAATTTTATTTGAGGTTGCAAAAGATACCTGAAGCAAATTTGTAAATTTTTTTGGCCCTGCCTTCTCATTTTAAATTCTGACCATTGTATCTTAAGAAGAGAATTCAGAATTAGCATGGAGCTACTTGACTGGAGTCGAGTTCCCAGCCTTACAGCGTATTTGTTGGCAAATCTCTTGTGCCGTCAGTGCCTAAATTCTTAAACATCAATAGCTCTTTTTTCACTTGAAAATTCTTTTAAGAGAGGGCTCTTTTTTACTCTTCAACTAGTCCAAATCATTTGGGCTGTAGGCTTGTATTGTGAGCAATGCTAATGTAAGTTCCAGATGGTTTCCTTAGTAGCAAGCACTGTAAGTCAAGTGATGTAGTCAGACCAGGACTAGTAGTTGTGCAAGGAAATGTCCAAAGAATTATTAGTTGTTTTTGTTGGTGTTTGGTTTTGGTGTTAGGTTCTCCATTGTTGTTGAAATGAGAAGATCATAGAAATGCTACAGCTACTGGGCTGTGGTAATGTAGCTCCTGAGAGCAGTTTTATTCCTCACCCTTAGAATTCAGAGCAGTCTGAAGTAAACTGTCTCTCCTGGAATAGGATTCAGAGAATGTTTTGAAAGGACACGTTCTTTACTTTTCCTAGATTATACATGTTACATTAGTTTATAGACCTTCAGTCACACATAAGTGCAAAGTTTTCCACAAATGTCTTCCATTGAAACACTGCCCTAGGAATAGTTTGTTGATTTTTCTTGGTAAGGGACAGAGTGGAAAAGGATAGCTTACCTCTTACAGTACTGAGGCTGGATTTGTTTATTTGGAACTTCCTGATTGTTCCTCTCAATGGGTGCATGAATGTAGCAGCAGCATCCTCATATGCCTGCTCTGCATTGACTTGGTGGGAGGTGTCAGCTGTGGGAGCTTGCTTGCTGCCAGTCCAGCTGTTGTGCTCCTGGGAGGCAAAGTAACAGGCCAGATGGAAGTCAGAAATAATAACTGAGTGTGTTGTGCACACAAAGGATCTCCTGTTTCCTGCTGGATCTGTGTTGATGTGATAGGATCCATATGGCAGGCAGTGTACCTGGTGAGCCGGGCTGCACTGCAGTGCTCCCAGCAGAGGAGCTGGGCACTGGTGTGGGGACACTCTGGTGCTTCACAAGGCATCAGGGAAATGCATGCACTGAGGAATTCACCTTGTCAAAGACGTGCTGCTCCTTTTAATTGTGTGACCCCAACAGGAATGAGTCTGCATTTGGTGGTTTATTGGTGTTTTGGGGTTTTTGTCCATAGCCAACGCAGGTGGAAAGGACAATCTGTTCTTTGCTTTTTCTTCTTCTAGGGTTAGGCAAGATATTTCTGTCATACATCTGTTTTGGTCAAAACACTAAAACAATGCACTAGCTTGTTCGCTTTCCTGACTTGTAGATACTTCTAAATATTTTGTTCATGTTGAAAGATAAAGTAGTTTTTAGTTGCAACTAAAGTACTGTGCTGCTACTTATAAATAACTAAATAGTGTTAGATCAATAACATTGAGTTACAACTTCTTCAGAAGTGAGATCTTTTTACTTTTTGCTACAGTATGTACAAGAATGTTCAAACAAAAGCAAGGTTTATCTTTCTAATTAGCAGATTCTTGGAGAAGTGAAATAGCATATGTATTTTTTTTTTTTTGTCTACAACCTAAAATTCTATCCAATTGTCACAAATTTATTTTATCAATATCAAAATTTTACTATTGAAAATTTTAAACAGTACGGAGATCAGAGAAAGAGTAAATGCAGTGGGGTTGGGCTTGTCACATGTGTGGAAATCAAAGTTACTCCAAATACCAAAACCTTCAGAAAATCTGTATTGATGCTATCAAAAATGACTTAAAGGATGAAGGAAAACTGTGTAAGAGTATGGAAATTAAAGAAAGGAGAAATTAAAGAGAAATTATGAGGTTTTAATAATTTTGGAATCAGTAGACCAAAGTGTTATTGACTCTAGTGAATCAGAATTTCAAGGTAGGTGCAATTCCTGTTACAGGAAAACCACTTGCAGAGTTCTGAAATGAGAATTATTTTTATCTGTACATTCAAATTAATTATTTAAAAATAAGTGAAATTCTGGGTGAAGAAGTTCTCCTTCTTGCATGTAGGAGTGTGGTTGAATCTCATTTCCTGATGTTTCAGGAATTAGCACCCAAAGAGAAATCTGGTTCATACCAGAGTGCTTGTAAGTCAGTGCTTAACAAAAACCACATCTAGCTCCTCATCTTTTCAGAACAGGCTTTTAGAGGTGCTGCAGTTCTTGAGTGCAGTGGAGGTCTCTGGGAAAGAAATCTCTCTCAGGGAGTTCACAGTCAAAGGATAGATTCACACTTCGGGAACAAGGAAATTTGCTAATGTTCTTTTTTTAGTTTTAATAAAATTTTTATTTGGTTGTTTGGGGTTTCTAAGTGGCCATGCGAGGCGGCCCTACTAGGTCATTAACAACATTTCTTTGTTTTCACATCAGTAGATCAAGATTTAGACTATGCCTATGGTGCTGAGTCAGAGAAATACAACAATCCCTGAGGTACCTATAGCAGAGGAATATGAAAATATCTAAATGACCTTACATAGTAGCTTGGGACTAACGGCTTTATGGCACTTTGTGCTGTTTTATCCTGCATTGTAAAACAGCCCCAGTGGAGTCCTAGGCTGTTTGGTACTGCAGCATAGAGGTGCTCTCAGTTTATGTTGAGGTGGAGTGGAGTAATAATTACTTTCTTCTCATGTTAAAAACCTGTTCAGAGTTGTTTATCCACCCACCACCATTTCTGCCTTTTCATCTGTAAGCTGATGCTGCTAATCAATTAATTCATGCATGGTAAAATTCAGAACAGGGTGGAAAGCTGAGGTCTGTGCTCCTATAATCATGTATCATCTTCCTCCTTACTGTGTTTTATAGATGGTCTCAGTTGCTGTGTGAAAATCTTGCCCAGTGTTTGAGTTCCCTCCTCTTCTTAAGAGATCTGACAGTTTTGGAGTTGCTGAGTTTTGTTTTTCTAGACCTGTCTCCTGCAATGTGACAGAACCCTGCAGTCATCACTAACTAGTCCCTGTTTCAGGAGTTTATTGGTCTCACCCCTACCTTTCTTACAGGCTCTTCCTGTTCCTTGTGCTGATCTTTCTGAACATTGGCCATTCTCTTTCTGCTCCCTGTCCTCAGCTTCTCAGGTTCCTGTGTCCATCTGTGAAGCTATTTTAGAGGAGGGACAGTTTACTCCAATGGAGCCCTGATGCACATCCAGGGCTCTGAGGAACTGCAGGAATACAAGTAATAATTAAAACACCAATTCTGGTATTTTACAGCTTTCCATAAGGCAAAAACTGAAGGGGCTGCAGTTAAAAAGCAGTCTGAAAGCCTTAGAAGAGAATATGACCATCTGATGAAGGAATTTGAACAGCTTCAGGTAGGTGGCTCTGGATTGCCATACAAGGACTGTGTTTTGAAATTGTATCAGCAAAATTCTGTTTGTTTTGAGAGAATTTACCAAAATCTTTAGGATATCATGAAGTTACAACAGGCAGCATTCCTTAAACTACTTCAAAATAGTAGAATTTTGTTTTGCAGAGTTAGTAGCTTTTTTTTTTTTGCACTTTGGTTGACAAAGCTCAGGTTATCATTAGCTTCCATTTTACTGTTGCTTGGAAAATAAGATTCAGGTGGTTTTGCACGTGATGATCACTCAAATACTGTAAGAAAATTATAGGAGGGGTGTGGGTGGCGGGGGGAGTATATACATGATTTATAAAAGTAATTTTATTTTGTTTGCTCTTAAAACATGGTTTTGCAATCCTAGATTATAAATGTTGCAATACTGTTGATACACAAGGATAAAAAAACCCAACAAACAACCTAGGTTAAAAACAGGCTACTATAAAATTCAAACTGAAGTACAAAATAATTTTTAAAAACTAAACTATATTAAGCAAAAGTTCAATTTGCTGTTTGATTGAGTTTGATTGAGTTTCTTACGTACGCGGCTGTAATACCCATAAGATACACAGTAAGTATCAGTAAATAGAACTGGGAGTTTGTATTTTTAAGTTGTCTGACAGATTTTCATATGCTCCATACCCAACAAAATTCAGTAAAAATTAAAGTTAACCTATTTACAAGTAGTGGTCTTGGGAGAAAATAAATTATTATTAAAATTATGGTGACCTGCTTTTCACGAAGAGTTGCTCAGCCCTGTATTAATTTTTAAAAAAGGCAGTTTTGACCTGGTTATAATATTTTTTCCTGTATTCTGTGAAACCACTAACTCATTCCCAGCCTCACCCTGTACTTCGACAGATTGCTCAACTGATCTCTGTGTTCAATTCAAGACCACCATGCATGTCCTGTCCTTGCTGTGCTTCCCTGTGTAATGAGCCATAGTAGTCCTGCTGCATTTCTAGCAGACTTGTGGTCTAAAACACACATCCTTACCATCTCTGTTTACCTCTGAGTAGAAGGAACAGAAGGTACTGAGCACACAGTAGATTCAACTCCCAGGGATAAATGAGTTGATAGCAGAAAATGTTTTGTGCTGAGTTTGTTGCACAGCTCAGCTGTAAAACCAAAGGGAGCAGAACTAGGCTGCACAGCCCTGACTGCTGGCAGCAGAAGCTCAGGGGTTCTGCAGGGTAGTGTTGGTGGGAACAGCTTAGAAAGGTGTGTGATGAACAAATCAGGTGTGACTGCAAAGGGGCAAAATTTGGCATCTGAACTCAGTGGTTTCTGATCTTGACAAACTGAAATTATTTTTCATCTGTCTCTTTTCAGCAACGTTTAAATAAAGCAGAAGATAAGAAAGACCTGTAAGCACATCTGGGACGGATGGCATCGCTACAGTTGCTTGAATGAGAAAAGGCTTGTGCTGTTGATGTTCCTGATGCATACCTGAAACAAAACTTGATTTTTCTGAAAAGCACATGCATTGCAGGTCACTATTCAGATTCCTCTAATATATCGGTTGCCAAAATGTTCTGTGTTGCAAATAAAATGTTAAGTGGCTTACCGGATTTACCATGGAGTTTGTCACTGCTCTTGTGAGGAGAAACTCAAAAATCTTTCAACTCCACCTGGAGCAACCTGTTTACCAAGCTTTTTCCTCCATAATGGTAACAGATCACCATTGCTTGTAGCATTTGAGTGGGGTTGTATATCACACTAGACCATAAAAACAATTACTTAAACCTCCTTGCAGCACCTGCTTGGAATCTTAGAAATTCAGTTCCCAGTGGGTTGAAGAAGGCTGAAAACTTATTTATCAGTGGAAAACTGAGTGACAATCAGTCTAAGGAAAATAAAGAAAGAAACATTGCCTTTGCAAATCCACCTCACTAGCTTGTGACTTTCACTTTAGCCACATGGATTTGAGTGTATTTTAACAAACAATATTTTGCATGCCTCTGGTTTATTTTTCTCTAATATATTGGGATATTTCATTTTTGGGTTGGCTGGTATTAGAAGTCTTTATTTTTACACTGTTTACATTGGTTTACTCTTTATGTACCACCTAACTTCTTTAGCTCGCTAAGTAAAAATCATTTTAAATGTAGATAGTTTGGTTTGTTTTGTTTTGTTTTCATGGATACGATACCTCAAATAAATGTGCACTGTTTTGCATAAGACCTTTTTGGTATTCAGAAAGTTGTTTTGAGCTTATGTGTTAGTTGGTTCCAGTTTATATTTGAAAGTTTGATATGTTTGTTATATTAAAGGGATTGTTTAAGTTCATGGTTTCTGGATTTTTTCTTGTAAATCTCTCCCAGTGTGCTGTCTCATCATAGTTAATAGTTATATGCACCAGGAACAAAATATACTTCTAACTTGCTGATGTTTAACTCTTCTTGAAAATACAATCTTCATAGTGGTGGTTTTGCTTACTCTGGAAATAAAATTTGTTTAGCTTAGAATTTAAACACAGCTTATCAAGTAGTATAAGGCATAATAACATACCATATTAAATAAGAAGGCATATGTTTTTAAAAAATACTTTATCCTTGCTGAAGTAGTACAGAATGTGTTTTCAGAGATTCTGTGACACTCAAGATTTTTTTTTTTTTTATTCATATAAAAACTTCCAGGAAAACTTACAGACTTTTCATACCAGCATACACGTGTTTTGAAGATGTAGGTGAATGCATCTTTGTTTCTTTTTTCTCCACCCCTTTCTGAAATATTTTAAATTGTGGTGGAATGTTATCTCCGGTCAGATCCAAAGGCTGTGGTTGGAAACTTTGGAGGTATAACAAGAAGTGCTGGTTTTAAAAAGAGAACAAAAAAAACCCTCACCTATGTTTCTTCAAGACACTGAACAAAAGCAAATAACTCTTGCTTTTTATTTACTGTTATCTACTCAAACTTCAAACTCTTCTTCTGCTAGTATAAGTAGATAATGGGGTAGAAAATTAGAAGCTTATTATGAATGATGTTGTGCACTGTCCTTTTCATCCTAAAATATTATCTTAAAAAATAATATGGAATAAAAAACAGATGGCTGTGAATGCAATGATAAAGGTATTTCTCCTTGAGAAGGAACTCTGAATGGTTTACACAGGTTCTTGCTGTAGAGCATGACTGAAGTGTGAAGGAATACAGGTGGTATGCACTGTTTCCTTGGAGCTGGAATGAGGCTGGGTATTTTCAGACATGGAACGTGCATTCAACACACAATAGATCCATGCTGTAATAGATTACACAGAAAACCTTGATATGGGGCACAGGGAAATGTTCCTGCCTTGGAGACTGCTTAAACACACAGGCTGTATTTTGTCTCCATTCACTTCTTCTGTCATGTCCATTTCTTGGATCCTTTGTCAGGTTTCCCTGTCACAGAGCATGACCATCATCATTTTTGTACTTGGCTGTTGTGGATGGTCACACACATTGGACTGAGTTGCATTATCACAATTCTAGCTCTTTGGGGTCCCAGACTTGTTCACAGAAAAATAATCTTCTGTTTTTCAGATTAAAATTATTTTGTAGATTCTGCTATGTAGAACTCTATTCTTGGAAAGAATGTGGGTTTTGTAAAATTGTAAGTCAAAATAGTGTATATGGAAATTCTAGTAGATGGCAAATCCTTGTGAATACTTTGCATTTGCATTGTTTCACATGATATGCTTTCAGGGCTTGTGAGAGTCTGGGTTGATCAACTTTAGGTTCACTCCCTGTTTTTGTTTTAAGTTATGGTTGATATACAGGGAAAGAATGAATCAAAATTTCTTGCTTTTATCTCCTGATCTTTCGGGATGTTGGGTCACATTTTGGTCACATTGTGTTGCGGGAAAGAGGGGGAAAAAAGTTAAATCTCTGCTAATACTGGTGGAATCAAAATAACTTTTGTACTGATGTTGGACAGTTAATTTATTCTGAGTATGTCTCCAGAAGTAAGAATTTGGAGCGCTTTATACTCTAAATAATGTCAAAGTAATTGCCTGGTTGTGTCACTGCTTTTTCTCCCTCTTTACAAAAGTACAAATGTGCATTTTCCGTACTTCGGTGAGGAAGCATGGGAGAGATTGTTCTAAAAATATTTGCACAGGTTTAACTGACAGTAGTTTTCAAAAAAAACTTGAGGGGTGTTTCCATATTTTTTTCATAAACCCCTTTTTCTGCTGAGTCAAGAAAGCAGTGAGGTCATGGTGGGTGCATGAGAGCTGACCTGAATATTAATAGACCTGGCTGCATGCTTTGGTGTTACCTTAAATGCAAGCACCTGTAGCTAGGCAGGATGTTTTTCCCTGTTTTTATTTTTGCAACAAACATGCAACAATACATCTTCCTTGATACCATAAATTGTGCAGAGTTTTTTCTGAAAATGTAGCCTTGCATTAGCACTCCCTGTGTTTGCTGCCACAGTAGTCCCTGGCTACATAGCCTCATTGAAAAGACACTGTGCTTTCCTAGCTTCTTGTAAAGGGTGAAAGCTCAGCTTTTCTCTCAGCATTGAAATAACATTTGTTTTTCCAAATGTGAAGTTACTGTAAAAGTACTACATGGCTGCCTCAGTTCTCAAGTGTTCCTTGAAATTCTGAATTTACTCTTTGGGACAGAAGCCCTCATTTTGCCATGCCTTTGGACAGTGCTTATCCCCCTGTCAGCTATAATCTGGCTCCTACTACAACCTGATACAAGTCATTTTACAGATAAGTTGGAAAAATAGCTCTCAGTTATGTTGTTCCTGTCCTTCAGTACTCTGTGCTGTGTATTGATGTGTGCTTTAATTGTGGAATGTCTGAAAATCTAGTTCTAGAACTGAGCATCCTCAGTTCAGGAATAATACGGAATGGTTTAATTTCTATTATAAAATGTAACATTTGTGTTTTGTTTATAAGGTAATGTACAAATAGGGACAAACATTGCAAGGTGTGTTTGTGAGGAAGACAAGAGTCCCTCTAGTTTTGTGTCCACTCTGAAATGCAGCTGTGGTCCAAAGGAAGTTTTTGTACCTCCTGCAAGGGCAAGTGCCCTGAAAAGATTTTGCTCTTCTGTCTCTGGCTTTGGGAGAGCTGAGCAGAGAGGGAAGCAGGCTATACAGCCCAGGACTATACATGCTTAAAGGTTCCCTGGAGGTGGTCTTGGTCTGCATGAAGCACATCTGGGATGTTTGGGTTCTCAAACATACTTGGGTGCACCAGGGTTTAGCGAGTGGGAACCTCCCCACTATGTTTAGTGACTAGCAGGAGTTGGATATTAGTTTTAGTGTGTCTGTTGGAAGGAAGGAGGTGCCCAAACCAACTACCAGGGAATGTGAATATGGGAAGGATCCTTCAAATGAAATTTGAAAAATTTCAAATTTGAAATTTCATCTGGAACTTGGACACCAATTACTGCTGTCATAGGAGCATGTCTGCAAGACCCTTGACATAAATAGCTGTTGATTTAACCCTTTATCCTGCTGCTTGAGGTCAGACTGTCTGTCTAGCCCAATTTGATTTGTTCTTGTTTTTGAAAACACAGCCAGAAGAGGCAATAGCTTTGGTGATAATTGTGTTTTGCAGATTGTGTAGTAACTTTTCACCTTGGTGGTGAGACCATATGCTACATCTTACTAAGCATGATGTTTAAATCTCTGTTCCTGTAACTATGGAAGAAGAAGGTGCTAAACTACTCCTTTCTTTGTGAGTTTAACAGGGTATGGAATGGACAGTGTGAGAGGAATGAAGAGAGGAACTGTTATTCTTGGCCAGTAAGGACAAAATCTTAGGCTTTGATTCTTCTCCAGACATGACTTGGGCATTAGAGGTCTAAGGAAACAGAGCATACAGTGAAGTAGAGGTCTTGGAAACAGGCTGTGTGTCTGTCCTAGGTTGTTTGTTTCATGCCAAGTACAAAGTGAACATGAACTAATTAGAAAATAATAACAAATAATAAGGTAAGCAAAAGGATACAGAAGACTGATGCAGATTTTAAGCTAAAAAGCACCTGAACACCCTTCCCCCCAAAAAATAACAGAAGACCCTCCACCAAAAAAAAAACCTACAAAAAACCACAACCCAACCAAAACAAACAAACAGAACAACCAACCAAATAAAAAAGCTGAAGTTGAAAAATGACAAACTAAGAGCCTGCCTTCTGGCTTGAAAGGTAAAAGGAAAGGAGGTACATCCTGAATGAGGTCAGCAACATCACAGGTCAGAAACACTGCAGTTGATTTGACACAGATGTGTCTCTGTGTATGGGATCCATTCTGAGCTAGGGTTTACAGTCTAGCTTCTTCCTCAAATAATTATCTTTTCAAATTCTGGTAAATGCATTGTGTTATACAGATAGAGAATTTTTATTTTTTTTTCTGGAAAACTCCTGTCCTCGAACTTGCATACTTCTGCCCTGCCAAGATTCATGCAGAGTCCTGCAGAGTTCTGATCTATACAACACCTGCAGGTGCTCCTACCACATATCATCACCTGAGGTGCTGAAGATGGGAGTACTGTTCAGACAGATGTGCTGCAGGAAAGAAATTTGCAAGGAGTGTGAGTTTCACTCAATTCAGATTCTTCTGACTGTACCCTTCCTGTGTTAATTACTTGTTCCATAGTATGTCTTTTCCTCTTGGTATCAAGCACTTCTCTAAAATCCTAGTTACATAAGTAATAAGATAAATGTAGTTTTGTGGATGTTCTAGGAGAAAGTAATATGTAATACACAGCCAGTCCTGAAAACTTGAGTTTATGTGGTAAGTGTAGGGCATCTACATTGGGTTCCTGCAAATGATTTTGCTGTTGCTCTTTGCTTCTATGATTAGCCTAGAAGCCATTATACCTGCTGGAGTAATTTCATTGTGTTTCTATTGTATTAATTGTATTGATTTTAGAGCTAAGTATTTATTAACTAATTTAGAACTAAGTATTTGTTAACTACGTCTTACTAATGTGTATTAATTTCAGAACTAATATAATGTTACCACAACAGCTTTTTTAAGTTAATTTTCAAAACTGCTTTTCATGGTGCTCCATTTTTATCTGGAGTGGATTCTAACATAATACATTACTCAGGTTTGATGCTAGCTCAGTTTTCAGTATGTGCTTTAGAATGTGTCTTAATGTGTCTTTTCCAATATGACATCTATTTCCCCATAATGTTATGTGCTAATGAGAAAATCTGAAAGCTTTCCTATCCCGGATTAAGTAACATTTACATCAGACCACTTTCCTTGCTCCTCTGGAGCTTGCAGCTTTTACTGACTCGAGTGCCTTGCTTACAGACTTCTGCAAAACGCTGGGACTTGTTTT